TCTGAGGAGAAAGTACAATCAGACACGCGTAAAAACGACTGACTGTTTTCGAAATATAGACAATGTCTCAATTGCCCCCTGTTACTTTTGCCTCCGGTCTACTCAAAGCAGGCAGGGAATTCCACTCCACAGCCGTTCGCCATATGCGTAAATGTGGAAGCTAAAAGCTTTTTTTATAACGCCAAGTAACGGGACGAACAAGTCGTGCGCCTGGTGGCAAACGACATATCCATAGCAGTTGCAGTGTCAGTTAGAGCTGTAAATCGCAAAGATCTTACAGGCACTGCCACTGCACCCGTCGCCCTGAGACTTAAGTTAACAAGTCCCATTTGCCTGTAATTCCATCAGCACCCTTACTGTTCCAAACCGAAATGCAGTAATGCTCACATACTTGTACTTCTACTTGAGCTCTACTACTACAAAATAGATTAATAAAATAGGTTCGTGCGAATCCGGAACTTTAATGCTCACATTTCTGCTTGGCAGCAGAAAAAGGTATCGTGGGAGTGCTTTCCTGGACGGACTCTTTAACATGGAACTCCACTGCTACTATCATCAGCATAATTCAGTTAATGTAGACATCTCTGTGTTATTCTTTTTTTTTATAACATCAAGTGACGGGACGAACAAGTCGTACGCCTGATGGGATACACGCCTGTCCATAACAGTTACAGTGCCACTCAGTTTTAAAATTGCAAAGATCTGATGGGCACTACCACTGCGCCCGTCACCCTGAGACATAAGCTGACAAGTCCCATGTGCCTGTAATTTCACCAGCATCCTCACCTTTCAAAACCGGAACACAGTAATGCTGATTTACTGCTTGGCGGCAGAAATAATTTTTCTTGCTAATAATAATTCTTCTACACGAGACCATAACATGATTGACATATCGATTATTTCGATATTAATTTTTTGCATGAATGTATGTAATAGAGATAACGTGACCAAAAACATTCGACAAACCAACACACATTATAATAATAATAATGATAACTTCATTAAAAAAACACACCATAGCCTTATGCATATATACCTAGTACAGAGAAACAAATGTAGTTATCAAAAAAATGAACAAGCAGAAAGACGTTACAAATCTTAGAACTCTTGACTCCTAAATTAGACAAGAGTCTGTGTCTTACGAGACAGTATTCAGCTAGCTGGGACAAAAATATGTGCCTTTAATATACTACCAGAACAAAGTATAAAAATGAGTCTGTACCTACAGTCGTAGTTGTACCTACACTTTTAGTGATAGCCATGAGGTAAAAGATAAAAAGAATAGGCTTATAAGTATGTGTGTATATGTATGTTTGCATAAATTAAATTAAAAACCATAGTCAATATTACGAACGTGGTGAAAAAAGTTTTTTCTTTTTCCTACAAAGTATCAAAAAACTCAAAACATTCATGAGTTCGTTTAGTGTAGATTTAATACATGTATATATTTAAATGCCAGGTGTCTAGATTTTGGACGTTACTTTTTGGCCCAACCTGTATAATTAAGATTCGTTGTCCTCATAGTAACTTAAATATTTCCTTATATTATACATGCCTTCGTTTTCAAAGGACCTATATAAGTACAATTCATGAACAGTACAACGCACTCTCAATTAGTCCCTTGAACTTATACATTCATAAGAACTTTTCTAATTCAAAAAATGGCAAAGTTATTTGTAATTGTTTCGGTAATCGCAACAGTATTGTTGATGCAGAGCGAAGCCTACAAGATGTCCCGGTGCGAGTTGGTGCAAGAGCTGCGGAGACATGGTTTTCCTGAATATCAAATGGCTAGCTGTAAGTTTTAATAAGGTCTCATTTTAGGTAACTATGTTCCCAAAACTTGCTGCCAATTGAATAAGGCTCAATTTATATTGCGGCAGAACGGAATGGAGGCGGATTTTTGTAACGACATTGTACATCACATAATGAACTTATGGTCAAGTCACGACAATGCTCGAGAATACTCGAGCACTCCGTGGAAGATTTTGGCTCGTATCTAGTTTGTACGTTACACAATTGACCATAAAGTTTATGGTATAATATAATACAATATAAGATTATGCTATGCACAATATCGTTACAAAAATTAGCCTCCAATAAGTAAATTGAGCCTTAAAGTTCCTGGTTAACAATAGAAGCGCTGGTAATTTTCCCGTTAGTGGTACAGACGGAGACGAATCTTGAAGATGAGCACCGCAGGTAGCGCTCTTCTTGTGTTTGTATTACAGCTACTGTACTGTGCTCTTCATTACACCTGCCATCTGTATCTTAATTTGGCAAATCTTAATTATTTTCTGTAGAAATCTGAATCTCGGTGATGTATGAATACCTTGCAAACTCCCCTATGCAGTAGTAGATAGATACTGTTATACTTGCATAGAGATCTAGCGCTTTATTTCGCTCTCGCATAATTCGCGCCCTATCGTGTTAGCCCTACAAGGCGCCACTTAACGGTTAGAGTCACTTGCTCTGCAATGCGCAACATATCTGGACCATAGGGAGGGTGCCGTACGTGCATCCGGGGGCGCTCACCCAAGGCACAGGCCTTTTGAGAACCGGATGAAGTCTGTGTCAATGGGCTGATCTGGGGTCAGGACCTGACTGATAAAATCCCTGTGCAGATTCGCTTGCACAGGTCCTTCCTGTATAACCAAAAGGTTGATCAGGAAGGGGCTCTATATTCAAAAAACTTAATAGAACATACGGGACTGTTAAAATCACGTTTATTACTATTTATAATTATTTTATTGCCTCTATCTCTCACTCGTGACCTCTGCGGTGCCCGCTTACATATGTTGGTAGGGTAGGTACTTCAGAAACCCGTTGAGGGAATACAATAACAAAAAACCCATCGAGCCAATATAAAAACGAAATGTGAAAAAAAAAGAAATGATTGAAGAATAGTAAATTTAAAAATATAAATATTATTCAGTAGCGCATAACCAGACAAATTTGTAAAATGGTCGTCTCATGCATTGAAATAGTATCCAAATGTTATTGCCATTACCACAGTCAATGTAACGAAAGTTTACTTTGTACGGCATCCTTGAAAAAAAATCTGAGACACTTGTTATAAGAAACAATAACAAAAATGTATAATAAGTTTTCTTATTAAAAATAACTTAATAAATATGACAGAGAATTTGTTATTATTTGACACATTCTAAACAAAACTGCTAAGCCACACATACAGGCGTCTCGGAAATAGTTCATTTCAGTGCACAACAGATTCACTGGGAATCTATCACTGATATTGAATGAGAGTACGAGAAAAAGCAAAATAAACTCGAATTATAAGAGACACTTCATATAGCGATTCGTTTCTATCCTCTCAATCTTAACGACATACCAAATAATTACCAAGTAAATATAGCAATTGTATGGGAAAAACAATTAGT